CCCTGGCTAGTCTCCTGCCTCAGCCTGCCTAGCAGGCTCTCTGTGCACACCACCACACCTGGCTAGTTGTACATGCTTCTGATGAAAAAAAGATGGAGAGATGATTTTTTTTTAATGTATAGATGATCTTTAAGATTCTTTGCAACTCTATTATTCTAATTTGCCTGTTCCAGGGTAAAGTTGAGTGTTTAGAAAAGAGACTAACTTTGTGATTTTTGTCAGGCTAGATACAACAGAGATTTGGAGTCTACAGCTATTAAGATGTTTTTCTTTCTAGAATCTAAGCATAATACATGAAATAGTCAAGGTCAAACCAGCTCCATAAGAACAAAAAGGCCCTTCCCAACACTGACTGATCCATGGGTATGGGTTTTTGAAATGTAAAGGCTTTAAGAGTTTAAGGTAAACAAAGTCACGTTTCCTGACACGTGAAGAGCTTGTAGGGATGTAGTAGAGGCCAGCAAAACAACCCACCGAGCTGAGAGACATGTGATCCTCATTACTTCTGAGGTGCACATTCACTCACGTATTAACATTTCTGAATTGGGGATTCTGTATCCTGAACTTAAGGGTGCGTGACTCACGATGGTTTGCCACTACATCTAAATAGGCCTAAAAGATCTCTTTCAATATATACAAATAAAAAGCGAGAAGCAAGGACCTTGCCAGCATTTAATCAGCAGTGTCTTCTTCTTTCTTGGTAATATATAAAATAATGAGACAGCTTCCAAGCCAGAGTTCTTAGAACCGGTAGAAGGTGCCATGTGATCCTAAAGGGAAGGTATGGGGAGGCTCCTCAGAGGAAGCAATGTCTGCAGGAAACAGGACATAATGGAAAACACAGTGTTTTTCAAGAACAGCAGGGGGTTAGCTGGGATACCTGGAGAGGAGAATAAAAGGGAGCAAGCTGTCTAATGCTCAGGCCTGAGAGAACTTCTCAGCGAATGTTCACATGCAGAACCTGGTGTACTGGGAAGTGTTCCTTCTGCCACCACAACACAAGAGCAGGTTAACACTGATGCTGCCTCCCCTCCTCAGTGAGACTCTGGACATCATCTGCAAAGCAGAAGGCCCCCTATAGAGCTGCCTTCGTAGGGCCTGGCCTGTGCTACCATCTACCTCTACAGAGGAGCACTGCGCACAGCGGGGCAGGGCCCTTGCTCAGCCAGTGGACTGGCAAATGGCAGTGCTGGAATTAGATCCCACCCTTGTTGGCTGGGAGGAAGCCTGAGTTTTTCACACAGCATTTCAAAAATAGGCCTCCTGTGAAAGGTGCATCTAAAAGAAAGTCAGAGGGCAAGGGTCCACTGAGGGTGGACATCAGGCCAATAAAAGGTGAGCCCCGCTCAACCTGAGAGAAAAGTTTATGCATTCAACAGCCATTTTCTATGGGCATTTTATAAAAGCAGCTTCCTGGGATCCTCTAGAGCTGTTAGAAACACAACAGGTGACAGCCCATAAATGTAATAGCCTTTAGATCACTAAATTAACAAAAGGAGAGAAAATACACACAAGAGAACCCTCAGCAAGAAGCCGCCCTGCATCTTTAGAGGAACAAATAAAGGCAAACTCAATCTCGCTTTCTAATTGTCTTATTAAATCCACGGTCCGCAGCAGTAGTGTGCTACAGCCCCCAACTCTGCTCAAACATCGACCAGATCCTGTGACCTGAAACTGCTGAAGGACCAGCTAAGAAGAAATGGAAAATGTCAAAGGGTAAGTTGAGAAATCATGTGAGTACCAGTTTATATCTCTACTTACTTTTATATTTCTGTTAATGATTTAAGGGAAATACATTGTATACGATACTGTAACCAAATGCACAAAGAGAAATAGTTAAACTGACAGCCACTTTGTGAACATGAGTCACACTGTAAAAATAAAGCAGATTTAATTCACTGAGAAATATGGGAAATAATAACAATAAATTAAGTTAGTTTTCATATAGATAAATATAGTATTTGTATAAATATAGCAAACAGAGTATATTAATATACATTGGTTCCGCCTTAACAAAAATGAAATCTTAAAACTTCCAGACTGACCCACCATAGAAACACTGTGTTGGTCATGGAAGTTCTGTTTGCTTTTATAAGATCCTGGACTAGGGAGTTTTCTCTGATGCATTCAAGAATTACAAAACAGCCGGGCACGGTGGCATACTCTTCTAATCCCAGTGGCTTGGGAGGCTGAGGTGGGAGGGTCGAGAGTTCAAAACCAGCCTCAGCAATTTAGCAAAACCCTATGTCTAAATAAAAACATAAAAAGGAGTAGGGATGTGGCTCAGTGGTGGAGCATCCCTTGGTTCAATCCCCAGTACAAAAAAAAAAGAATTACAAAATAAAAACAATACATACACAGAAAAGACCTACCTATGAAGTGTCCAGATCCCTTAGCCATGTGACATTGGGGAAAACATATAAAGATACAGGAAGGTGGGCTGTGTCTGTAGCTCAGTTGGTAGAGCGCTCTCCTAGCACATGTGAGGCACTGGGCTCGATCCCCAGCACCATATTAAAAAAAAAAAATGAGATAAAGGTATTGTGTGTCCATCTACTATAAAAAAATTTTTTTAAAGATGCAGGAAGGTAAAATAAATGGTGGGTAAATAAACCAGCAGCAGGTGATGATAGATTTTGTAAATTACAATCACATGACAAAAAAGAGGTCATTAAGATGTCAGATGACCAGTAGAGGAGAGGAAGAGCAACGGGGAGGGACTGGCGGTGGGAAAGGAAGCACTGGGGACTGAAATGGAGCATATTACATTCCATGTGTGTGTGATTAGGCCAAATGAACCCCACTACCATGTATAACTGTGATGACTAATAAAAACAGTTTTAAAAAGATATAGGATGATGTGCAGAACAGCAGTGTGCAAAGCAACAGCCTATAAAATGTTAAGAGAAGCCCACCTGGAGTAGATACAGTGGTAAAGGCAACGCTAAAAATAAACCAGATAAATTAAATTGCCTTAAGGGAAGAGGAGAAAATATTGAAGCGCTCCAGGCACCTGGAAGAAGCAGCCTTCTCCAGGGTCAGCCTTAGGTCACTCACTGTAAGACACAAAGAAGTGGCACAGAAAACCCTAAGGGTGACAGCAGCTCTGAGCTATTTTTCTCAGTGCAGGGAAGATTTCCTTACATTTATCTAAACAAACTGCTTCAAAGGAAAAACTATAAGTTTGATTCTGCTGATAGCAACACATTCACTCCAATATTCTAAGGCAGCAGCACAAACACCTGAATAAAGAAGTGATATCCTCATGAACTAAATAAAATATCCCATGTATATTCTTTGTGGGGGATTTAAGGAGAGGATGGGAAAACGCTAGAAAAAAATACACAAGAGAGACAGGTTGGTTTTTGTCGTCAGTCCCTCCCCTCCCCGCCCCCAGCTCTGGAGCTCCAAAGCGCATCTGCTCTGAGTCAGAGTTTATTAACAGCAGGTCCCACAGTGGGAGAAGCCATTAGGTTCCTGCAGCAAATACTCGGCTCTGTATGGCTTATAAAGTTGCATGAAGGGAGGTTTTCTTACCACATTTTTTTCTAAAACACAAAATCCCTAACTTTCAGGAATAAGATGTTTTACAGATATGAATCGTCCAGAGACCATACGAGAAGCATTGAGTCCATCACACTTTTATTTAACACATATTTTGAGCCAAGTACGATAGTAGTCAGTATAATAAAACCATCTAATGCTACATTTCAAAACTAGATAAAATGTCAAATTATACTACCATTGAAATTTTTAGGTTTATTCTCCCATATGAAAAATTCAAAAGTGCATCATTTTTGAGTCAAAAACAGAGTTCTGCTTGACATAACCTAATTAGGGTCAGACATTAGCTGTCTTCTGTATGCCATGACTACGCCTTAGTGACTCCGTTGCCACTTAAAGACAACAACTGGTACAAGCTTTCAGTCAAATATTCCCAACAGCTCATTCCTCAAAAATCAATGTTCCCAGGCTGGGGGTGTTGCTCAGTAAAGGTAAAGCACTTGCCTAGCATGAGCAAGGCCTTAGGTTCGATCCCAGCAACGCAAAGAAGAAAGGAAAAAACAAAAAATCAATGTTCCTCAAAATGAAGCCAATCTATTTGGGGCCAGAAAGCTACTCTAACCTTTACAGTACCATTTTCATTCCCTTCGCTTGTTTTTCCAGAATACTGGTTACAATAAAGTAGAAAAAATAACAGGGAAAAATAAATATAAACTATAGTGTCTATTCATCTTGTTTTGCTCTCTCTCCTTTTTTTTTTTTTTTTACACAACGCCTTTATTTTTATTTGTTTTTATTTTTATGTGGTGCTGAGGATTGAACCCAGGGCCTCGCACGTGCTTGGAAAGTACTCTAGCGCTGAGCCACAGCCTCAGCCCCTCTCTCCTTTTAATTCAACATAATCTCTTATTGCTCCTCTGTAAAATATTAGATACCACCTCTCGTTAGGTACACATTCTCTTTTAGGAAACAAAAGAATGTCTAATATCTTCAGTTATTTATTTCTAGAAGGTATATTGGTTCATCTGAAGAAATCAATTTACTATTAGAGGCATTGTGGTTTAGAATTACAGAATCTCAGAACTACAAAAAATAAAAAAGAAAATTATTTAAAGAACCATAAACTCTGGAGAAGTGGTCAACTCATGCTCATGTAGTTAGTTAATGAAAAATTGAAGAATATATTCCATGTCCAGGCCAGTGGTTTTCCATACTCTTCTGCCTCATTAACGTCAATGACTGGCTGTGTGTCTTGATCTTCCTTTGTGTAAGATGTCAGATCTTAGCCAATCTGAGACCACCCTCTCGTCCCACCATCCTGGAGATTGAACCCAGGCCCTGGCCCAGGCTAGGCAATTGCTCTACCACTGAGCCACACTCCCAGCCCATTAAGTTTTATATCTTATCAATTTCTTGTCCCTGAGCCTAAAGTCTTAGAAGGTTACAAATGTTTAACTTTAAATTAAGATCAGACCAAGTACTTTCATCATATTTACCTCTCATGGGAGATTTCATGGCGGCTTCTACCATCCCCACCAGAAGCTGGAGGCTCTTGGGGTCTTGAGCCAGTCCAGATGCGAAGGCTGCCAGGGCATCGGCATGACGTCCAAGGTACTGGAGGGCAACACCCTGTCGGAAGTATGCCTGGAAACAGAGGAGGACAATGCGGGTTACCCAGGGGGCTGACTGGGGTTCTGCAGTAGAATAAACAGGTCAGCAGAACCAAAGTGGATGGCCTCAGTCCAAAAAGAAGACAGGCGGTTGGTAACCAAATGAATTGAGTTCTTCTAAGATCATCAAATGTGAGCATCCTCACTTTCAGAACTTTCATTCTTTTTACTTTTGGGACACTTCTTTTTTTTTCTGAGGGGTGCTGGGGAGAACTCAGGGGCACTGGACCACTGAGCCACATCCCCAGCCCTGTTTTGTATTTTATTTAGAGACAGGGTCTCACTGAGTTGCTTAGCACCTCACTGTTGCTGAGGCTGACTTTGACCTCAGGATCCTCCTGCCTCAGCCTCCCCAGCGGCTGAGATGACAGGCGAGTGCCACTGCGCCCAGCTGGGACACTTCTTAATTTTATCACATTCCTTGGCATTTACCCCCATTCTAAAAATATATTTTAAAAATCTTCTATACCATCTTTAATTCCATAAGCCCCTGAAGGAGAGTTCTTTATCTCTTTCCAAAGTATCTGGTACAGTGCATAATAAGTAAGAGAGAAATTCAACTTATTTTGAATTTTCTCCCTTCTGTAATTAAAAGGAAAAAATATCAATTTGTGATTACTATTAAGATAATTTTAATAATGAGTAACATAACATGCTTATGTACTTTTTAAAAAATATTTTTGTTACTGTTAATAGAGCTTTATTTCATTCATTTATTTATATGTGGTGCTGAGAATCAAACCCAGTGCCTCACACATGCTAGGCAAGCGCTCTGCCTCTGAGCCACAACTCCAGCCCCTGCTTATGTACTTTTAACGTTGTGTTTCAGATGCAGTATTTTAAAAATTACTTAAAATATGTTTTTTCAAAAATCAACTTAAAGTGGATCAAGGAACTAGGCATTAGACCAGAGACCCTGCCCCTGATAGAAGAAAGTGTAGGCCCAACTCTCCATCATGTCAGCTTAGGAACCAACTTGACAAGACTCCTAAAGCACAAGAAGTAAAGTCAAGAATCAATAAACAGATGGGATCAAACTAAAAAGCTCCTTCACAACAAAGAAAACAATCAAGAATGAGAAGAAAGAGTCTATAGAATGGGAGAAAATCTTTGCCACCTGCACCTAAGATAGAGTATTAATCTCCAAGATACATAAACAACTCAAAAAACTTAAAAAACACACACACCAAAAAAACAAAACCTAATGATGCAGCCACATCAGTATTTATAGCAGCTCAATTTACAAAATGGGAAACCCAGGTACTTCACAGAAGAAAATATAAAAATGGTCAACAAATATATAAAAATGGTCTAGCAATTAGAGAAATGCAAATTAAAACTCACTCCAGTCAGAATGGCAACAATCAAGAAGACAAGTAACAATAAATGTTGGGGAAAAAGCACACCCATACATTGCTGGTGAAACTACAAATTGGTGCAACCACTCTGGAAAGCAGTATGGAGATTCCTCAGAAAACTTGGAATTGGACCACCATTTGACTCGGTTATCCCACTCCTCAGCATATACTCAAAGGACTTAAAATCATCATCCTACAGTGATGCGGCCACTTCAGTATTTATAGCAGCTCAATTTACAAGAGTCAAGCTATGGAGGCAACTTAGGTGCCCTTCAACAGATGAATGGATAAAGAAAAATGTACATATATATAAGGGACTCAGCCATAAAAAAGAATGATTTTATGACTTTTGCTGTTAAATGGATGGATCTGGAGACTATCATGGAGACAAAATAAGCCAGTCCCCAAAAAAACCAAAGGTTGAATGTTCTCTCTGATATGTTGATGCTAACACTCAGTAAGAAGGAGAGGGAAAAATAGAAGTTCATTGTATTAGACAAAGGGGAATGAAGGGAAGGGAGGGGGATGAGAAATAGGAAAGACTAAAGAATGAATCAGACACAACTTTCCTATGTACATATATGAATACATGACCAGTGTAACTTATCATGTATAACCACAAGAATGGGATCCTAATTAGAATAGTCATACTCCATGTATGTAGAATATATCAAAATACATGCTACTGTCATGTATATCTAAAAAGAACAAAATTTTAAAAATCACTTAGGAGCGTAAAAGGAAAAAAAATGTGTGCTTTGCTTAAAAAAGGTTTTTGTCCGCTGTATCTTTTAACTGGATTAGTTTTAAAACTAGTATAATCATCTGTGATGATAGTAAAACATTCCCCCTTATAGATAACTGAAGAAAGGATAAGTAAGTTAAGAAAATATTTAAACTGAGAATTTAAATATTTGAATTTTAGAATAGTTTTAAAAAACTGCAGTTTGTGGCCAGGCACAGTGGTGCACCCCTGTAACCCCAGCAGCTCGGGAGGCTGAGGCAGAAGGATTGCAAATTCCAAGCCATCCTCAGCAAAAGCAAGGTGCTAAGCAACTCAGTGAGACCTTGTCTCTAAATAAAATACAAAATAGGGCTGGGGATGTGGCTCAGTGGTTGAGTGCCCCGACTTCAATCCCTGGTACTCCAAAAAAGAAAAGAAACTGCAGTTTGTTTTCAAGTACACAGAGTAAAACCAAGTATATGGACAACATGTTACAGTATGTAACCAGCAAAGGGCCCTGTACCCAATTAAATAATGCATTAAAATGACATATTATTAATGCATTCATTGCTTATATGACAACATCTGCTTCTAAAATAGTTGGCTTCCTATTCCTTCTAAACATTCTTACAATACTGTTTATGACATAAACTTAACCTTTTCAGTCCAACATACTTAAGACATTTTCACTATTTGTACTCATGGAATCTAAATGAAGTTTCAAACTCTTAAAACTACTACTCAGTAAGCTTAGCATATAATTTTACATCACATGTACACACAACACAGAGAATAAGAGAGTAAGGACCGTTCATGTTTGCAGAATTTATTCACTTATTCCATTTTTATAACAATACTTTAAGCAAGACAATGCTATTCAGGGCTCCCATTAAGAAGCAATCCATAATGCAATGAATACTCAAATTACTACAGGCTATTCAGGCCTCTGTTAGTTAAAACTATCAGCAGCTGTTAAAACTCAGACCCAGAAAGACAATAACCTGTAAATGCACTTTCATTACTAATTCATAAGATCAGTCATTTCCCTGGTCTCAGCCTTTGTTTTAATCTTTAATGTGTTTACAGACATTTTTCATTTACCCCCTTCATTTCACATTTTAGGTGGTTTCTATAATCCCAAAAGTAATACACAGTATGTTCCAACTCAAAACAACTATAGTTTATATAAGTCTAGAAGTGTTCTATTAAAGCTTAACTAAAAATGTATATTTATATACATATGTACATATATTCATATATAAATATACCAAATGCCTATAAACTGATTACTATTTACAGAACAAGACAAATGGTATCTGTAGTGATTGATTTTGTGTAGAATGTTCTATTAGAAACACAAAAATCTTAAATTACTCTCAATTTTGATGATTTCTTGCATTTGTAAAATAAAGTTTTACACATGTCCTACTTCACTGAGATAGCAGCTGATTTCTCTGTCTGCCAAGTATCACCACTGAAATGGAGATTTACCTACCCCTAAGGGGTTAGCAAAGTTCACACTCTGGTCTCAAGTTCACACAGCAGCATGTTTTATTTTCTTAGGACACTCAGAAACTGGATAATAAGGGAGAAGAGAAGACCATGCCTTTCACAATCTTGGATTCCCTTTCTTCAGGAAAGATTTCTAAAGGTTTTCCTATGCCCTTCCTGGATTCCCCAATCCAGCTTCAGAAGAGCTCACCTATCAAAAGCTCAGCTGTTTCCCCTTAAGGATCTGACCAGCCCCACTCCAGACTCCATGAAGCTCTCCCAACTATCTCCATGCTTTATTCATTATATGCACAAACAAATGTTGAATAAAATTACTTGTCTGTATTTGAGTGAGAGATACACCACTGGAATTCAAGTTGTTGCTGATAAAACCTAGATTGTGGGTTATGGTGATAGAATAAGTGAACTTAGTACAGTAGCTGACACAGAGTAACTACTTGATTAAATGAGCTATTTTCATTATTAGTTATCTTGATAAGAACACGTAATTTTAGACTAACAGAACATAAAGGGATTCCAATAAATACTTTCAGTATTCAATCCTATCATTGCTTCATTTATTTCTTCTCTTGCTCCAACCAGGGAGAGAAACGACATAATTAGAAACCAGGAAACTACAGAATCAAGACCCCTCATTGTTACAAGGCTTCCAGACAAATCTAAACCACCTCACTAAAAGTCACTGGTGTTATCAAGTCTTGGGAGACAGAGAAGCCACCAGGATCCTCTGCCAGCTTCCTCCAAAGTCAAGGTTAAGATGTGCTGAGATTGACAGCTGTTTATCAGAACTTCAAGAGAATTGTCATGACATCCTCCAGCCAATCAGCTCCCCACCTACTGGTTCCTGCTATTAATGTGGCTCTTGCCATCATAGCTTTCACAGGAAGCCACTTCATGGGGAGAAGGGCAAATGTTGACAGCAGATGTAGTGTCCGTGCAGCATGCCACAGGAAACTGAAGCCTTTGAGGCAGGACTAAATACCTGGTGCCTGGTCAACCTCAGAAGCCTACCACATACACACCACATGTGGGCACTAGTAATGTCACAGAGGGAGAAGGAAGAACATGGTTTAACTACTGAGAATACCTGTACCCTGAGAACAGCAGTTCTCAATTGAAACCTCAGCCTGAAAGAAGATGTTTACAGAGAGAAGGTGATACTCCAGACTAAAGGTGGGATACCTGGTCCTGCAAGTGTCCTGTGGTCATTGGTTTATTTTTGTTGTTCTTGTTCCCCCAAAAGAAACCGCAGTGATTATTCTGCATGCCACTAGTGACCTTACAAATAAAAGAAGGCAACTGATTATGAGATTAAGTTTCCATTCCTTTCTTCCTCCCTTGAATTGCCATTGCCTAAAATCTCCCATGCCAGGCACTCTA